TTTTAAAAAAATATTGTACAATATAAAACATCCCAGCGAAGGAACAACAGAAGAAGAAGGAAAAGTGAAGAAAGGAATGAATGAATGAATGAATGAATGAATGAAGGAAGGAAGGAAGGAAGGAAGGAAGGAAGGAAGGAAGGAAGGAAAAGGGAAATTTTATTTATTTAGGCTTATTTGGACTTATTTCAGCTAGGCGGGTAATGACAACAATATAGATTTACCGTCCTCTGTTACTCATCCACGGTTACGGTTAGCCTGGGGACATCACTTCATTGCATTAGAGATGACGAAGGCTTTGTAAGATTCCAGAAACTATCAGATGCAGGAATAGCGTTTGAGCAAAGTCACTCATCCTGGAAGGGACATGAAGCCTCCTGCAGACCTCATTTGCCCCAAAGGGGATGTTGGCTTGCTTGAGGAGCCCTTGGGGCTTGTTCAAAACAGCTGGTCTTAGCTTGTGCATGTCAGCAGGGCATGCAATGATTTTAATGCAGCATTTCTAATGAGCAACTCTTAAAACGTGCATCAATTGCAAACGCCCATTGCTAAAGAAGGCAGTCCGAATGCAGACCTGCATGTGGCTGCATAAAGCAAGGGTGGGGACTCTGCAGTGCAGAAGGTTGCTCGTTGCGTTGCCTCCCCTGGAGAAGGCAGTGCAAAAGCATCTGGATGGCATCAGAGTCTGTGGCAAATGTCCAGCAGGAGGTGACCATGAGCAGCCCCCCCCCTTCCTGTACAATGCAGGTGACCCAGGGCTTCCAGGACCAAAAGGACATGCCCTTTATGGTGCCCCTGTCCTGCATCTCCTTCAGCCTTGCAGCTCCCAGGACCTTGGTGCTGCACTTGCATTTCCAGCTTGGAACACCCGAGGCAACGGAGTGGACCAAGCGGGATTATTTTGCATCGCCAATCTGCTATTTGTCATCCGGCATCATGACCTTTTTGGGGATAATTTTTGTTGGCCCTGCGACAGAGAGACCATTGCTTCTGCATCATTGTGTGACGCTCTAAAAGACTTCATACTGACGTTGTTTAGCATTTGCCCTTTTTTAAGACGTCGTTTTGGGAGCGGGTTGTCCTTGCATCAACAGAGCCATGACCCCCCCCCCCAGGCAGCCAGGCGGGTTGAGCAAACAGAACAATCAAAGGTTCACAGGCATTATAGCCTTGGTGGCTTGATTTATTTTTTCTCCTGCAGGGGATTTGAGGCACATTCAAGATCAGTTGAACATGGCATTTCCTGCCAAGCTTGTCTTTAAGAGGACACAAGAAAAGGGTAGGGGTTTTTTTTGAGGGGAGGGGGAGGTGTACATGTTGTGGAACTGCAAGTGTGTGGCTTTGAGAGACCAGAAGAGAATTGAGGGCTGCCCGTTGATTTATCAGGTTTGCTTAAGAAGGACCCCACCTGATACGATCACTCTTTGTAAACCCAGAAGTAATTCTTCTGGATGTAAAAGAAGGCAGAGAATCCCTTCTTCTTTCCATATCATCAAGGCAACGTCACCACAGAGAAACCAGATGGGTGTCTTGCACCACTTGGATGTTTCTCCTGTCCTCAACTACCTAAGCAAAGCTGAACTTCAAGGTTTTGAAGGTGGCTCCAACAAATCCCAGAAATAACATCAGAGCTCTTTGTAGATGACAGATGAGGGAATAGAAGGGGAACTCATCAACTTTGCAGATGACACTAAACTGGCAGGAATAGCCAACGGCCCAGAAGACAAACGCAGGATCCAAAAATATCTTGACAGAGTTCAACAATGGGCCCTATCCAACAACATGAATTTTAATGTGGAGAAAAGGAAAGTTTTACACCTGGGCAGAAAAAAACAAAGATACAAGTACAGATTATACCATCTCAGACAAGTGACTGTCCAGTCTCTTCTTAAAAGCCTCCAGGGATGGAGCACCCACGATTTCTGGAGGCAAGCTGTTCCCCTGGTTAATTGTCCTCACTGTCAGGAAGTTTCTCTCCTTAATTCCAGATTGCTTCTGTCTTTGTTCAGTTTCCAACCATTGTTTCTTGTCCTGCCCTCTGGTGCTTTGGAGAATAACTTGACCCCCTCTGCCTTGTGGCAGCCCCTCAAATACTGGCATACTGCTATCATGTCTCCTCTAGTCCTTCTTTTCACTAGACTGGCCATACCCAGTTTCTGCAATCCTCCTTGGTTTAACATGCAAAAGAAATGCTTAGTAATACGTTCGGTTTTCTAGTTCCTGATCCCAAGACTCCAATCTTACACCTTCCAGAAGCATCATTTCCCCCCCAACACTCCCTGTCTGCTGAAATAAAAATGCCATATATCTTGGTCTTAAAAAAATTGCTGACAGGAGGCTGATTCATCCCTGTGTGTCAGCCATGCCTCTGGGAAGCGGGTTTTGCTCAAAGAATGAGGCCATTAACGCAGGAGCCTCTCGGACAGGCACCGAGATCAGCCTGGGGGCAACGGGGGGGGGGGGTGTCCTTGGAAGTGGGGAAAACAGATCACCAGCGGGAGGCTTCATTCATTAGCTCAACTAGGTGGAAAGGAAACCAACTATAACTCAGCCTCTGTTGATAATGGCTAGGTAGAGATATCTCAAGAAAGTCAAGATGACCTAGATAATTGAATCAGCAACAACTGGCTGGATGTATCCCAACAATCACACTGACTGGGTTTGTGTGTCCCGTGGATTCCTGATTTGACTAATTGGGGCTCACTAGAGAAGTGCAATTTGCTGACTTCACACAGAATGCAAAGCTGTGATTTAACATCTATTTTTTTAGAGGTACACAATCAAAGCTTTTATCATAGAGAATGCTTCCCAGAAGGTTACTATAGAAATTTCCAGATCTGGTCCCAAATTGTAATTGGTAACTTGACCAAAAAGTCACGATTGGAGAGTTTTGTGGTAAGAGACCCCTCAGGGCTGCTGTAAAAGTGAAAGGGGAGAGATGTGTTTTCCGACTTGCAAGATTTTTTTAATGTAACCTTAGAACAGGGGTGGGGAGCTACGGCCCCTATATGATCGGTGGACTTCAATTCCCAGAATTCCTCAGCCAGGTGGGGAACTATGGTCCCTTTATGACTGGTGGACTTTCTGGGAGTTGAAACGTGTACCGATCATGACTTATTTCTGGCCAACAACAAATCCAAGAAGGTGGCATCATTCTGGCAATATAAAGTTTGATCCAGACACGGAAGAAGCAGCAGCCTCAGCCTTGTTGGTGACAGAGGCCTTATGTTTCTTCTTCAGGAATTGACTGTGTCTTCTCAAGAAGCCGGTTGCACAGCCTCTTATGAGAATAGGGCTTATATCCATCTACCATTACTTCTGCCACGATTCTGTCAGCATCCCAGTAACTTTTTTATTTATAGAAATGTAAACTGGGTTAAAATCTGGCTCAGTATGAAGCAGAAAACTAGGATTCTAGCACATTGCGTGAACTATGCCACTAACACACTAGTTCTGCAAGTTAAGTTGGACCATTATTGTTGCTTGTCCGTTAAGACACAGCATATTAGGGGGGCAAACAACTGCGTTTTGTTAACCTAGATTTTGGGGTTTTCATCTTGGGTGGATTTGGTGAAAGTCCAAAGCCTTGCTACAAAAGTCCAAAATATCAGACAGGGAACTTCTTAGGACAATGGCTCCTTATCTCGGCTTTACCCTAGAACAGAGGCCACTTTGGGGTGAAAAACCACATTAAGTAAAGACTGAACATCACAAGTTCTTTATTAAGCAGGCAACCGGCATCTGCAGATTAAGCTTTTCAACACATATTTAAGCTTTCTCTTGCATTCCACAGGCTGTAAATCCTGTGAAAGAATCCAGAGAGAGAAAAAGAAATGCCGATAACTCATTGGTGGCAAAAGGACGTCCAGGATCTCTGCACAGCACAAGGCCATTTCTCCGGGCAGCCTGTCAAAAAAATACCCTTCAAGAAATCATGGTTGCTTCAACATCAACAAATGCAAAAATAAGTGTGGCTTCACTTTGGTGCTGCTGACATAGACACTTGTGCCAACTTCAAACAGGTTTTGTTACCACTTTGAGGGCTCCAGGTTGCATGCTCGAGTGTGCATGTGTTGGGTAAGTACACACACGTTTGCACTTTGCAAACTTTCCATCTTTTCCTGGGGACACCTAGCCAGGGTTCAGTGGACAGTAATGGCCCCTTTAGGACCTGTGGACTTCAACTCCCAGAATTCCTGAGCCAGCAAAGTCCCCAGGTCCTAAAGGGGCCATAGTTGCCCATCCCTGATTCATACAGACTTTTGGTCTTACTAAAACATGTCTGTTTCAAAAAGCATGGAACAGAGTATTCGTTTGTGGAGAAAGGGGAGATTTCTAACCAAGTATTTAATTTTCTGCCTCTGCGTTTGACCTATTTTTCATATCATTGCATTTTTATGTCTCTGGAATGTGCCCCACATTATTTTCCGACGGATTCTTGTCTGGCCCTGAGTGGTTAGGGTTGCAGCCCAATTCCATCTGAGGTTGCCACCTCACTTCCAGCTTACTCTCTGAGGAGGCAATTCTACCAGTCCTGGAATGGGATCTGGGGATCCTAGGAAGGGATCCCTAATCCATAGACATGGGTTAAAGATCTTGGAAATGTGAGAACAGAATCTAATCACAAAATGCTCTTCTCTATCACTTCTTTACCAAGATCCTGAAGAGGTAAGCTGGGATTGGAGAAATCCTCCATTACTTGCTTCAAGAGGACTAGCTGCACACTTTTCCTGACTAACAAAAAATTATGCCAGTGTGAAGGATGCCAAGGACGAAAAATGAAACCCCTCCTGGCTCTCATTTGTTGGCTGCACCCCAAGGGGGACTGGGAGTTTTTGGAATGCAACATGTTTCAAGCGCTAGAATTATTCTGCCTCATCTCTAGGACGGGCCAGGTTGTAACCCCTGTAATCCCCCTGAAGGGAGCTCAGAGAAGCATTCAAGGCTCCCCCAATTGGATGTGGCAATTCATCCATTCACGAGGAGAGGTCAGAGTTCTCGCAGCTGGCTTCTTGCCTAGACAAATTTAAATAGCGCTCAACCTTTCATCCCTGGATCCAGATGTCAGCTTTGCAGAGGTTCTGCTCTAGAGGGAGAAGTGAAGCGAAGCAGAAATGCCTATTAAAGCCCTGAGTTTCTTTTCCCCCTTCTGCTTGGTGGGAACACAGCTGTCAAGAATTTCCCATCTCAAACCAGAAGCTTGTCTCGCAAGACCTCCTTCATTCTCTCAGAAACTAAGTCCTACCAAAGAAACGCCTAAAAAAGAAATCCTTAATGGGTGCAACAGCTGCTGTGTCGATTGTCCAAAGGGAGCATTGCCCTCTTATTTCTGCATCTTCTCTCTGGAGCCAGACTGAGATCGGGGTGGCCCAAACCTCCAGGTTCTCTAGCCTTCTAATCATCAAAATCTGGGATGTCGTCGTAGGAGTAGCCCCGGTAGCCTTTGGAAGCGAAGTAGGCGATTCGCAAGTGATAGAAGCCTGGAAGGAAAACCAGGATTCCGATGATCAAGACAGGGACTGCGCGATCGGTTCCCTGGAGGGCAGAAGAGGAGGAGGAAGGTCACAGGCCAGCTCAGAGCCTCAAATCCAGCAGTGAAGATGGTGAACATCGACGATTTCCAGGGTCTTCCAGGGGGGTGCAGAAAGACACTACCCCCCCCCCCGAAATGGGAGACTGGCTCCGTCTTTAAAAGGGCCCCAGGGTGACAGTGATGGACCATAAGCAGGAGACCCTGGTTCTAGCTCCCCCTCAGCCACAAAGGCTCCCTGATGACTTTGGGCCAGTTCCTCCTTCTCAGCCCCACGGCCTGGGTAGGGTAATGGTGAAGATGCTGGAGGGAGGGAGCCCCAGGTTCAAGGACCCTCCCCTCCCCCCACGCATGGAAACCCCCGGCTAGCTAGTTTCCACGCAGGACGCCTGCACAGACCTGCCCACGAGAGACCCGAGGCGGACTCGCTGCTCTCAACTTACCCCGTGGCTAATGTATCCGGCAAGGAGGAGCGCACCAATGATGATGAGGAGGGTCCCGATCAGGAACAGCACTGTGGCCAGCGCGATTGCCTTGTAGGGAACCTTGGGGGGACTCTTCTTGAACTAGGAGAAAAAGGGGGTCAGTGCAGAACAGCCTTCCCGGTCCCGAGTTCCAAATCGTAAAGTTCCCAGCAACGCTGTGGAATTCTGGGAACTGTAGTTCATACACCTGAAAGGTGTCCAAGTTGGGGGCACCAAGTTCTTTTTGAAGAGCCGTTTTCAAGCAAAATATAAAAAAAACTGAATTCTGAATCTTTTTCCTTGGAAGGGGGACCGAAAATAACTTTTGAAAGAAGACTTTCAGCACTGGTCCTGACCAGATCCCCTCCCGATTTTTACAAATCTCGATTCTCAGAATTCACCACCAATTCAAAGGAATGGCACAAGGCAATCGAGTGACGTTTCTGCCAAAAGAAAAAAGAAAAAAAAAAGCCCAGGACATTTAAAGCAGAGAACCAAAGGTGAGAGATCCAACCTGGGAAGACGCTCGTCTCCCGAACAGAGCCTGCGGCAAAACAAGCCACCTGGGGTGTGAACGGATATAAAACGAAAGGGGTGAAGAACAGGTTAGAATGAAGGTAGTAAAACAGGATGCATCAGCTGTTCCTGGATCCGCGTCAACAAATCCTAGCCTCTTGAGCGTCTGTAGGAATTTATTACAAGTTTTTATTGATGAATTCTCTGTACATCTAAATTTACAATCACGCTGGCTTAAAAGTTCACCAGTGTCTTTCATGCTCCGGCTCCAGAATTTGTGATTAAGGTAGGAAAGAAGCTCTCTAACGCAGGGGTCTCCAACCTTGGCAACTTTAAGACTTGTGGACTTCAAGTCCCAGAATTCCTCAGCCAGCTTTGCTGGCTGAGGAATTCTGGGACTTGAAGTCCACAAGTCTTAAAGTTGCCAAGGTTGGAGACCCCTGCTCTAACGCTTTCATACACTCTGGTTTTTCTTCTCCATCATACTTTTGGGAGGCATGCTAACAGGGATCTTTTTAGTGCTGTCCCTATTACAGTGATGGCGAACCTTTTAGAGACCAAGTGTCCAAATTGCAACCCAAAACCTACTTACACATCGTCGGGTGCCGGGGGGCGTGGCCCATTGGGTGAGCGTGGCACATTGAGTGGGTGTGGCCCATTGGGTGGGCGTTGCTACGGTTGTAACGGCAGACTGGGTGGGACTAAAAAGTTCAATCAATCAATTCCAACTTTGCGAGATCTTTTTTTTTCCCCGCGAGAAGTTGAAATTGATTGATTGAACCTTCTTTTTTTATTGCACACGGCAGCAGAGGCCTAAAGCGAAAAGGTTTTATAAAACCCAGCTAAAGACCTAGGACTGGGATGAGAACGCGCGTGCCCACAGAGAGGACTCTGCGTGCCACCTGTGGCACGCGTGCCATAGGTTCGCCACCACGGCCCTATTACAACTTTCTTAAAGATTTTCTCAGTAGTCCTGCCTTCAAGTGCCGTGACAAGGCTGCCCCCTGGTGGGCAACTCTACAAACTGATGAAACAGTCAGAAAAAACACCGCCAGCAGGTGGAATCTAGTACTACAGGGCTCCACTTCCCATAATCTTCGCCAACACTACTACTTGGGGGGGGGGGGGACTCCCCTATGACCACAGCTTTCCATGAAAGTTTGAGGAGGAAATATACAATTCTACGTCCCTCTCCCTGGAGCTGACATTTTCCCACCTTCCTCCACTGGTCTTCATTTGGATGGGGACAGCAGGAGATACTGCCAACCCTGCGAGGTAGACACGCCAGGGAAACAACCCCATAGGAAGGTTAAGACTACTTAGATTGAGACTGACTTGAACAACAGAATCCTGCAAGTGTGAATGTGCTGCACCTTTTCCTTCTTATACTCCAGTGAATTTAGGGAGACGCTGAGAGGTTTCCAAATGCTGCCTTGCAGTCTGTGGACTTAAAATAGGCTTCACCCCTATCACGTCCTCCTGATGACGGAGCTTGCCTATCTCCAAGGGGGCCATCTTCCTTACTCCCTATAGCAGCCTTTCTCAATCCTGATAACCTTAAGGTGTAGGGGTCAACTCCCAGAATTCTCCAGGCACGATGCTGGCTGAGGAATTCAGGAAGTCCACCCACCTTAAACTTGCCAAGGCTGAGAAACACCACTCTATAGATAATGATCCTGGGGACTCCTTACCCTATACAGGCAGTCCTCGACTTATCACCACAAATGAGTCCTAAACGAACTGTCGTAAGTCAAGGACTGCCTGTAGTCTGAAACCATAGCCCACATAAATCTGCACCATATGGACCTGTTCTACGAGAAAAGGCAAGAGAAAATGGAGGGGGGACCTCACATAAACCGCAGATTGGGTCAGCAAGCCTCATCCCGATGGCTTTTTGGCAATGTCAGATGTGGGGCCTGTGAACAGAGGCCCCCAGAGGGGGTGATCCTGGCCATTTTCAGGGTCCGTGTTTGTAAACCAATAAGTAGCAGCGGCCTGGTCTTCCCAAGGCAACCGTTCTCCTGAAGGGTTCTCCATCCCTGTCCTCTCTCCACTGTCCTGGTTGGTGCAAAGAGGGCCGAGAAGAGGAGCAGCCGCCCCTGAACGAAGCTGCACTTTCAGGAAAGTCTTGACACAGCAGGAGCTTTCTCAGACAAAAGACCTCTCAGGTTTCCTCCCTACAGACCTGTAATGTCTGAAAATGGGCTGGGGACCGAGGAGACCCCAGGTCAGATGCCCCGTCTAGAACGCACGGAAGAAAAGAGAGTCCGTCTGGTGCAGTGGGGAAGATGCTGGGTGAAAAACCGGAAGATCCAGTTCCCTCTTAGCTGGGTGACTCTGGGACAGTCCCTTTCTATTAAGCCCAGCCCATTGCAACCACTGTTGTGGTTATGGGGAAAACAGAAGCAGGAGGATTTGAGTTATCCAAGATAAAGGTAGGATAAAAAGATGATAGTAAAATAACCTTCCTTTTACCTGCAGATCAATGTATCCTTCATCCGTGCAAGCGAGTTTAGAATACTTCACTTTGCTGCTTGGGATCGAAGCAGCCAAACTCGTTCTGGATGGCATCTTCAGCAGAAGCAACGAATCCTCACAGCTACAACCTGGATCAGAGCCACAAAGGTTTTGAGTGGATAAGAACCTCCGAGTCCTTTAAATTAAGCTGTGCGAGTCCCATAGCAACAAGCACTCCATCGCTGGAAGCTGCGATGTGGAGACACGTTTAAACAACAGAAAACAAACTTTTGTTCGTAGGTTGGGTGTGGAGAGCTAATAATCCTAATCCTCAACCTACGACAGTAATGGTGGCTGCCCACTAGGGTCATAAATCTTAACAGTTGTAAAGTGGGTCATCCGTGTGACTGACCCGATTTTATGAGCTTTTTTTTTTTTTGCAACAGTTATTAAGTGAACCCATTGTTCACTAGAAGGAAAAATATAAATTTACCTATTCTATTGTAGTAGGAATTGATCCCTTCTGTTATTCTACTTCTAGCTCTTGAACGATTTGGAGGAAGAAAAGCTGGGCAGGAAATAGCATCTATTACTGTAAACGTATATTCATAAATATTTTATTTTCATTCCAAATTTAAACAATAAAACGATAATTTCCTGTAGGGTAGGGTAGGGATGCCTTTAGAAGCACCCACACTTGCTAGACTGCCTGAAACGAGCATCTGGGAGAACAAGACCAGGAGGAAGAAATAAAAAGAGGGCAAGGACAGAACAATATTTGCAGTTTCATAACTTTAAAAAACGCCTGTTTCTTTCAGAGGATTCCTCTCTCTACTGACGGGATGAGATACAGGGAGTCCTCAATTTACAACCACAGCCGAGACCAACATTTCTGTTGCTAAGAAAGGCATTTGTTAAGTGAGTTTTGCCCCATTTTATGACCTTTCTTGCCAGAGTTGTTAACTGAATCACCACACTTGTTATATTAGTAACACAGTTGTTAAGTGAATCTGGCTTCCCTGTTGACTTTGCTTGTCAGAAATCTGCAAAAGGTCCTGACCCCGGGATACTGCAACCGTCGTAAATATGAGTCAGTTCCCAAGCATCTGAATTTTGATTACATGACCGTGGATGTAAGTGTGAAAAATGGTCACGAGTCCCTTTTTTCAGGGATGTTGTAATTTCAAATGGTCACTAAATGAACTGTTGTAAGTCGAGGACTACCTGTACTCCCAAATGCCCACCACTAGGTAGAGGGGGCTCGGATCCAGCTTTCCTTCTGAGATGGGAGCATTGGGCTAGTCCAGGGGTAGGCAAACTTGGCCTCTTCATGACTCGTGGACTTCAACTCCCAGAATTCCTGAGCCACCCTGGCTCAACTTGGAAACCTCTCCCTTTCCCCTCAGCATAGCCGGCTCAGGAATTCTGGGAGTTGAAGTCCACGAGTCATAAAAGAGCCAAGGTTGCCTGCCTCTGGCCCCTAGGCCTAGGCTGCTTTATGACTCATGGACTTCAACTCCCAGAATTCCGGAGCCAGCATGGGGGAACTATAGCATAGCCCCCTTTACGACTCGTGGACTTCAACTCCCAGAATTCCTGAGCCCGCCTGGCTCAGCTTGGAAACCTCTCCCTTTCCCCTCAGCATGGCTGGCTCAGGAATTCTGGGAGTTGAAGTCCACCAGTCATAAAAGAGCCCAGGTTGCCTACCCCTGCCGCTAGGCCAATATTTTCAACCTCGGGTGTGAACTTCAACTCCCAGAATTCCCTGGCCAGCGTTCTATGCGGCAGGGGAGACCTGGGAGTTGAAGCCCCCTCCTCTCCCCGCTTCAAAGTTGACGAAGAGGGCTTAGAGGTCGTTGCCATGGAGACCAGGGACGGATGGCAGCCAGTTGGGGTTTAGTTTCATTAGCCGAAGGTTCCGGGGCTTGAGGGGGCAGAGCCGACCCGGCCGTTCTCCCCCCCCCGACCACCCTCCTCCTCCTCCCCAGCCCACCCAAAGTCGGGCCGCTCCCCCCCCCCCGGGCCGGAGCGGCTCCCCGCGTCCCCAGCCTCGCCCGCCTACCTTCGGGGCAGCGCCATGGCGGCCTTGCCTGCCCAGGAAGTCGACGGCCTCGCTCGCCGGAGCTGCTTCCAGGTCGCCGAGCGGCTGCGCCGCCCACGGGCGGTTCGCGGAAAGACGCCGGCCCTCCTCCTCCTCCTCCCGCTGGGGAAGGGCGCTGGTCCCGGGCAGGCGAGACAGACGGAGCCGCTGCGCCTCGCCCGGACTCGGCCTGCCCCTCAGTCGCCGTGAAAGCGGCCTGCTTGTGCAGAGGCGACCGCTCGGCCCGCATCCACGCCGGCGAAGTGCACGAAGCCCCGCACCCGGGGGGAGTCCGCCCTTGGGCGGGATAGATTTGGATCTGAGCCGATCTGTTTTGCATGGCACGTGGGCCGCCGAGCCACCAGGGAAGCGGTGCAAAGGAGCCCAGAAGGACTTCCCCCCCCCCGGGAGGCTCTTCATCTGCAGGGCCTGGGGGGCCAAAGCCTATGAAGAAAGGTGGCAGGACCTGGGAATGGCCGGTCTAGAGAATAGGGGGGCTGGGGGGACGTGATGGCAATGTTCCAGCATTTGAGGGGCTCCACAAAGAGGGGATCGACCTCTTTTCCAAAGCACCGGAGAGCAGGACAAGAAACGATGGAGACTAATCCAGGAGAGAAGCAACCTGGAATGAAGGAGAAACTTCCCAACAGTGAGAACAATCAATCAGTGGGACGACTTGCCTTCAGAAGTTGTGGGTGCTCCATCGCTGGAGGTTTTTAAGAGACTGGACCACTCGTCTGAAATGGTATAGATAGGGTCTCCGGCCTGAGCAGGGGGTTAGACTAGAAGACCTCCAAGGTCCCTTCCAGCTCTATTCTGATTGATTTATCTGCAAGGCCAGTGGTTTGGTTTTATTAAGGGCAGATTTATTAGGATTATTTGCCAGAGGCAGGTCTAGATTGCCTGGGAGATGGGCAGTGTGTAAGTTGAATAAATTCTTCTGGGGAAATAAAACATGGTTTTCTCCAGCACTGTAGTTATCCAGGCACACAACTCTATTGCAATGTAACTTCTTAAATGTATGCTTTTTTTTAGCTTTTCCAATTTAGTTGCATACTAAAATATTTCTAGCTGTCCTTCCAACACTCCCTCAAGTCTTCAGGGTGTGTGCTCAGTCCACCCCCTTTTTTTTCCAGGGTGAACTGAAGGCCCTGCCTCTTCAAACATGGTTCTCTCATCACAGCACTTTTCATGATGTTGTTTCATTCGGGCCACCAGGCCTTGTTGTTGCCCGGCTTGCATTTTACCCGTAGGTAGAGGAACTTCATTAAAGTATTCCCAAAATGGGATAAAGGAATATTCCTGAACTTTGTTTTATGATTTATCTCATGGTTACTGTGAAATTGTGTGAATGCATCAATGCACTGCATGTTATCTCAGCTTGCAGAGCTTGGATTCATTGAATGAGTTTACCAAAAATGTAAATATTGCAGAATATACAGCCTCGTGCTACATAACTAAGCTCCATTCCATGCTGAATAAACTAAATTATTAATGTATGTTAAATAGAAAACTATCCTTAAATAGATTTTTACCCCAAAAGCATTTTATTAAAATAAATTTGATAAAAATAAAAAAAAATCCGATTTAAATAAAAAAATCCATTTTTTTATTTTTTATTTTAAAATATCATCATTATCCACCCTGCCAAGACATTGGACAGTAAGAACTATCATGAGGCAAAATAAAAAATGTAGTATTCTTTATTGAAAAGCATTCATTTCTGAAGATTCCCTTTTCAAGGTAAGCCATTAAAACATTTTTTCCTCCAAACATTGCTTTTTGCAGTTATTAGCATCCTTGTTTTAACTAAAAGGGTGAAAAATTAATGGTTCAGCAATACTGCAAAACTCTGATTCTCGTGCATGGTCATTAGGGATAGCAACTAAAGGGTCATGGGCTCTCCACGCACAGAAATTATTTGTTTTTAAATACCACATTCTTTTTTATATGAAATGGATTACAAGTTGAATAATAAAAACAGCTTCTACAAGTATTTTAAAGTAGGTACTCACATAATAAAAAGAGAAGTATTTACACAGAAATATCTACAATTGGGTCTAAGTGCACCTGATGCACCAAGACTGAGTAACTGAGAGGGACACTGGCTACCAGCCTCACAAAAATCACATTTCCTCCTTTAATTTCTTACGATTCTTCTTGGTCTTCAATCTTGGGGGCCAAATAATATTTCAAATGTCCCATATCTGCTATCTTGTACTCCACAACTGCAGGAGACAGAAAAGGAAAACAGTTAATGGCCAGCCTGAAACCATCAATCAAATCAATGAAATAGCCTCTGGCACCATTTCTCAGTGAGACCCGCAATATTCCACTTACCTAAGGGAACATCTGCAGACATACTGAGTATAACGGTAGGAGACAAAGGTGTAGCTTTGGTGAAGAAATTCAAATATCTCAAAGCAAAAGTCAGCTGGACAGGCTCATTCATCTCTATTGTTACCTGCAAAAAAATGAATGAAGATTAAAGGGCTGGGAAAAGATAAGAGAGCAATGGTAAGAGACAGCTTAAGCTTCCTCGGGGCCTACTTACAGCTTCTTCCTCTTTATCAACATCACTGGTTTGTGACAGTTTGACATTTCCACTCCCAAGTTCTCCCGTGGCAGAAAATTTGACACCATCTTTTGTGCAGGAGATTACAACGGCATCTCCAATGTGACTGAGGTCACGGCAAATACGTGCAAATTCAGCAGAGGGCATTTTCACCACACAGCTGTATTCTTGTTCCTGAAAGATCATCATGTAAGCTTTAGGAATTGTTTTTAAGACTCATTTAGGCTAAAGCCATCATAAACGTTTCATCATTTTTCATGGGCAGAAACCAAGTAGGGCAAATAGATATAAATCAAACGAACATTTTAAAAAGTTATTGCAAGAGAAGCAAATGTTTGTATTTTGCAACAGCTTTACAGGTAGTCCTTGACTGACAACAGTCCATTTAATGACCGTTCAGTTACAATGGCACTGAAAAGTGACATGATTTTTCACACAATGCTGCAGAATCTCCATGGTCACGTGATCAAAATTCAGGCACTTGGCAACTATCCTGTATTTACGACAGTTGCAGTCACATGACCACTTTCTGATGAGCAAAGTCATTGGGCAGGCCACATTCACTTAACGACTGATACTAACTTAACTGCAGTGATTCGCTTAACTGTGGCAAGAAAGGTCATAAAACAAGGCAAAAATCCATATGAAGTCATGAAGACGCTGACGTATGTCCAGTCCTTTACATTATGGCAGCAACCCATCATACAATCAAATCTGGGTGCTTAGCAGCCTGCCCATATATTTAGGACCACAGGCTATACTTCAACTTCTCCCTCCACGTTTGCCATTTTGGCCACCCTGTTGCCTTGCAAAGGGCCAAGGTTGGGCAAGCAACTGGGAGCCACAGGAAGACAGAATTGAAGAGAAGGCAACAGGGCAGGAGAAGCATGAGATCCTGGCTTAATGACTGTAATCTGGGGTACAGAAACTGCTATTGCTAAGTGGTGCGGTCACATGATGTTTCACCTAATTACTGAAATTCTGGTCTTAATTAGGGTCATTAAGCAATAATTATCTGTATCAAAATGGCAAAATAGAACATTAGCAAGCATAGTAACATTTTAATTGTTGCAGCAGCCATAGATTCAGTCAAAAGACAGCAAACATATTTAACGAATTCATTAATAGTAACTTTGAAATAAAAACTCACTTACTGGAATTCCAAGCTGTTCTACATCCAAATCCATTAATTTCATTTCATAGTCTGAAACCTTCTCCTGATCTATAAAAAAAATAATCATATGATTGTTTACGAGAACAAAATAATTTCCTGACTGAATATTGTTTACTAGCCATAATCTGCAAAGCTATTTGAATACCTATTAAATAAAAAGACAGTAACAAAACCACAGAGTCTCTGATCATTATCTGGGTGCTTGGCAATCTGTTTGCACTTAGAACCAGTTGCCAAATGCCCTGTAATCTTGTAAAACTCAATAGAGCAGCTGGCAGGGAAGGCTGCTTGCTGCCGCCTGCCACACTGCAGAGCAAAAGGACTGAAGGTTGAACCTTTGGGATTTAAGCTGTTTGGGCAGCTCACTGCAGAGATTCCCTTCTGCACATGTAAGGGAAATCCTGCAGCAGCCTCTAGAAACAAAGTGTGAATCCCAAATACCCATGCCTATATTTGATCACCATAAACACTTTGTTCTAAAAGAATATCACACGCTAGTGAATTTGCTGCCTTTTGTACATATATACTTTCAAAGTGATTTGTTATGCAGCAATTAGATTTCATAGCTTGCAATACTCTTGCCATGTGTTTTCTTGCCAAACCCAAAAACTTTCTATATTGCTCTGCCAGTAGAATCTACCTAGATACACTTGGATGTTCTATATTCTAAGAGACAGACTCAAAGGACTCTTCTGAAATCAGAATTTTATCTTACCCCCTATAGTTTCACAATGAACACCTACTCCCAAGAAAAGACAGTTTTAATAATTCAGTTAAACTTACTTGGCGTTTCAAATACCAAAACCAGTGTGTCAGCATTATCTTCAGCTCTCAGGGTGATTATGTCATCATTACCAGCACACTTGAGCACTTTGGACATACTAGGAAAGAAAAAGAAAATGCATATCTCATTGTTTTGATATAATGTACTATTTTGACAATACACAGCATGAGACAAATTGAACAAGTCAGTGCAAGCCGATAGGCTCAGTACATTTTTGTCCCAAGGGAAAGCAAAGAGAAACCATGGGTCAACATTCATTTGTAAAGGCTTCCAAAGAATGAAGCCTGTCAACTTCCTGAGTCTATATTCACTTTCACATAAACTAAGCAGAAGCCTTTCTGTACCCAAAGTGAGGGTAGAAAACAGTTTCTTGCCTGCTTCGACCCACAAGCCACATATTTTCCAGCAAGCAATTGTTACTTATTTGGAAACACAACAGCCAGTTATACAGCATTTT